AGAGACCCTACGGATCTACCACATCCAGCTGCCGCTGCTTCACACTGCTAATTAGATTAGTTGTGCAGACACTAATACAGCACCTCGGGCCAAGAAACTTGAACATGCTGTCTGTTCACAGCCAACAAACCTCTGACTTTCCAGGACAAGAGCTGGATGGTAACCCTGGGTGGGGAAGGCTCCCAGTAAACAACTGGTGACAGATTTTTGCATGGTCAGGCAGATTTCTGAGTTAACGATCAGTTCTGACCCTCAGCCGCAGGCATGAAGGCCATCTGGAGCAGTAAACAACTGGTGACAGATTTTTGCATGGTCAGGCAGATTTCTGAGTTAGCGATCAGTTCTGACCCTCAGCCGCAGGCATGAAGGCCATCTGGAGAGGGAGTTACATTAGCATGGGTGGAGATATACTTCCTGATCTGTCACTCTGCATTAGACTACTGTCTTTAGTGCTCCGAAACAGAGGAGGTTCATCAAAGGGTTTTGTAAAAAACGCTTGATTCAGGAAGATTGTCATTTCTGCTAGAATCCGTATTGCTTTAGTTTAGTTCCCATTGCTGCTTGGTCTGGTTTCAAATGTTCAATCACAACAAGGCAAAAACAAGGCTGTTTTTTTTCAGGCAAATCACAGATATGCTATAACTATGCAACTACAAACAGTTCTAAATAAATAAATTAATTAATCACTTAGAAAATCAAACATGCATACAAAGTAAGTGTCTGCTTAAGTGTTAATGTTTTCAATGATTTATCATAAAAATAAAAATATTAAAACATTATATAATATTAAAATATCATTTAAACATTTTAATGCAAAAAAGGACATTTATAAAAGAGATTTAAATAAAAAAAGTTATATACTAAATCTAAAAAAGACAAAATTATTGAAAAACATAATATACAATGTAAAATATGAAAAAATCTACAAACTAAGTAAAAACATTTAATTTAAAATTAAAGTCAGCATTTAGTATTTTAATTTTTCTTTGAGATATAAATCTAAAAATGACAAAATATAAGAATGAATATATATATATATATTAGGGGTGTAACGGTACACAAACATGACGGTTCGGTACGTACCTCGGTTTTGCCGTCACGGTTCGGTATGGTTTCGGTACAGCACGAGGATAAAAACTAAACGTATCTATTTTTTTTTATATAACAATGGTTTACTGAACAAATTGCTCTTTCGTTAAATAAATTCAATTATATTTAAAATGTTCTTAGGGATAAAAATCTACCTCAGCTTCTGCTCTAAACTGTAGGGAGCCCTTTTCCATTACTATAAGGTTACAATTAACAACAGAGGCCAAACTCAATTACTATTTATTTTTAACTATAATAATCAACACTCAAATTAAAAAATTGCATGCAAACATGTAAATTATTTTTAAATTAACTTCTAAATGATACAATTTCTATTTGTTGTTGAAATACAATAATTTACGGAGTCATAACTTGTTCAATAAAATATTTATTTAAACATATACATTAAATAATTAAGGCATCATTAACTGATAAAGTATAGGTCCAATATTTCGCAAAATGCTCTTCTCTAGACTTAATTTCTCTAGCAAATAATGAGCTGTAGACACTTATGACTTGCCTGAGGTAAATGAAATTCTACGTGACATTTTGTTTACAAGCTGATTTGTTCGGTACACATGCGTACCGAACCAAAAGCCCCGTACCGAAAATTTTCGATACAAATATGTGTACTGTTACACCCCTAATATATATATATATATACACAGCGGGTAAAATAAGTATTGAACACATCACCATTTTTCTCAGTAAATATATTGTTGACATGAATTTTTCACCAGATGTTGGTAACAACCCAAGTAATCCATACATACAAAGAAAACAATACAAATAAGTTCAGAAA